GTATTATACAAATTCATCAGTTCTGTAAGTTTCAAACCAAAAGGTAAAACGGTTTTCCACTTATCGTGTTTACCGTGTTGCATATATGCTGAAAAAAGTGAAAAAACAGCATAACTTCCCTAAAAATGGCCTGATCATGCTGATTTTCGAACTTGACCTGAATATTATGAATATTCATCAGTTCTGTAAGTTTCAAGTCAAAACATAAAACCGTTTTCCACTTATCGTGTTTACGGTAAAAGTGCACGCCAACGGCAACGGCAACGGCGACGACAGACGCAGGTGACGGCTATATGTACAGACACATCTGTGTCTGTACATAATAAAAAGGGTATGTTATTAACTACATTGCAAGTTCATTTTGAACTAGAAAAAGGAAAAAAACAGTACCTGTAACTATTTTGGTATTTGCATCAAAGATCTTTGGTCCTCTGCTGTGTGTTGTATGGGTTTTGTCCATGGGTACTTTTACAAACCCATTACAAGAAGAGCACCGTAACACTAAATGTCTGCTCACGCCAGATGGAAGCACACCTATTGCATCTTTCCCGGAGAGTTGAAAATTGCACTCCTTACAGATCATATTGTTCAATAACACACTTAAATCAACAACAAAACGCGATGAGTCTAATGATTGTAACTTATCATAAAAGAAAAGAGCATTGTTTTCAGCAAACGAATCACGGTAACAATAACTTGAGGGGTCGTATTAAACATAGAAATGGGTAGAAATGGATAGAAATGGACAGAAATGGACCGATACAGACCTCTAGGTAAGCATAGCAAGCCTCTCTAGGATTGTATTTGAGTTCTACATAGTAAAGATAAACTTACTTCTGCACCAGAAAGAAGTTTTATTGGCTTTTCTGCCGAGACATTTGTGTAGGTTGAAATCAGGTCAAGGTCGCCATTTTCAAGGTGGATGCCACAACTAGGCTGTGCTTGAGATCACTGGTTGCTCCAATAAACAACTTTCACAAGCACAGTAAATACTTAAATTAAGTAATTTAAACTACAAAGTTAAGACTAAAGAACCAGAACAGAAGCTTCAAAAATGTGTGCAACATGACAATGCAATGTGTATGTGTACTGACACACTATTGAAGACAGTTTTAAGTATATGTACTCTTTGTAACACAACAGTGGTTATAGCATAACTTATGTATGGACCATTCTCATTATTCTTAACAACTGATATTTTAGTGATACTATACTGAAATGTACATATATTTTGTGACAATTTTCACACTGTAACATAGAATGTTGGGTATAATTCTTTAATACTTGCAAATTTTGTGCAAAATTGACCTGAGTTTTTATGACTCTGAGGCCAGAACTTCAGATTGCCAGTTAACCATACCGTTGTTAATAACCAGTTAATGATATTTCACTGGCTGGTAGAGAAAAAGATTATGATAAAAATGTGACAAGTGAGTAGTTGATTTCAGTGACAGGTACATCTAAGTCAGACTTCAGTTCTAGATTTAATTACTTCTGAGATTGCTTCTGAGAGCTTAATTGTGAAGTAAACAGTTTGTAGCGGACCACGAGTAAATGAAGAAACACCGTTGGATAATACTGCCGTTTATTCACGCAGTGTGAACAGAACTGAACAGAATCTGAACAGAAACTGAACAAAACTGGTGAAAACTATAAAAAGAAAAGAAAAAGAAAAAAAAATGATAATAACAATACACTGAAATAAAGATAAATAAACTAGATATACTAAACAACTTAATTCATGTGATCTTAACAACAAATAATTGATCTTTACATGCGTGTAAGTTTTCACTAATTATTTATTATTTAATTTTAAAACACTCACACTAAAACAATATCCAGACTCGCTTTCTCCGCTGCCAACTGGCTGCTCAGATACGGCCATAACAATCAGAGCTGGTACTGTAATTTTATTTGATAACATAAATGTAGGCCTACATGTGCGTGTTGGTCATGAAAATGATAAGATATATGTACCTTCACCACTTTTTTTATTGAACATTCTATCAGATATTACTTAAATTGATAACATCTGTTCATTTTGGCAAATTAAAAAAAAAGACAATTTTTACATACTGACTAATGGTAAACAAATCTGTCTCAACATTCAGAGTTAGTCCCTGTTTCTTATTATTATTGTTTTTTTTTTTTCGTAACAAAATCTTAATAGATTACAAAGAAGTATAGACATCTGATCAATGATGGTAAGCACAGCTTTAAGGCTAACTGTAATAATTGCCCTTTTGGTGGTAAAAGAGAATTTATTATATTTCTATGAGTTATATACAATATATTTATTGAGAAATATGAATCTAATATAAAGAACTGTTATCCATTTAAACACCATTCAGTAAATTCTTTTTTTCACATCATATGGTTGTAATGCACACTGTGCATGTATACATAATGAATAACAAAACATTATTTATTGTGTAGCCGGTGTGATGTCTATCCACTCAGGTGTCTAGATCTAGACGTGGACTTAAAGATGAGGAGGGCAAGATGGGATAGAATATCTGCTTTAAGTTTTCTGTTAAAATGCTGTGAAAGCTGTAAAAAATAGTGGTCTATGTAGGCCCAAAGAGATGATCACTGTCAGGTAATGTGCTTCATTTCTTTGACTTTGAACCAAGAACTTCAAATGCGTTAAACCATTGTTGTTACATGTATAATGACCAGTTAATGATCTCTCACTGTCACTGAATATTTAAAAAAGTGGAAAACTCACCCTTCCGACAATAAAATAAGCATTAAATAACTTATCTCCAACTCCCTCACCTGTGCTTCAAGTATAATATCAGCAATGTCAAACTGTCATGGAAGCGAAATATATTTTTCGGATGGCAAAAGGAAACGATGTTTACTCCCTCTGGCACCAAATACTTTTTGACAATTTTTCCTAGTATTAATTTTTCCTGGTATTAGCCCTGACTCAAAGCCCCTTCAGTTAAATATTTATTAAAGAAAAAACTTACGTTATGTCTCATTCACCATATGACTGA